TGCTCGTAATTTCTCAAAATAATAGATATTTGATCAAATCCCTCCTATTTCCTTTACCTACTCATCCAGTCCTATCAATAGGCAAAATGTAAGCCGAATCGATTTTTTGGCCGTGTCCGCGAATTTTCAAATTTTGTTTGATTTTTACTGACATTCACTCTTATTATTATGTAGCACGTCTTTACATAATTTTCAGCCCACCCTTTTTCAAGACGGAGTTCGAAGTGAGATCAAACGTCTCAGGACTTTCAGAAACTCCTTTTCGCTGGCGACACTGAACTAACATTTTCAAAACGCTCTACTTTTGACAGCGTTTTCAAAACATCCCGATTTCATATATCGATGTCGTGTAAACGCAAGGCGTAACTGATTACCAAAGAACACGGTTTCAAATGAAAACGCGACCGTATTAACGGGACCATTTACTAGTCACCGTCAAGAGATAACGATTTGGTTTTAGAGTGACGTCATTAAACCGGTGAAATTAGGCTAATACACATTAGTAGACCCTAATTCCATTGTTTTCTTTTGTGCCTATTTGACTATTACATGTTGACTAGTATTTATTTACAGTGGAACCCCGCTCTAAGGACACCCACTTAATAAGGACACCTCGTTATTAAGGACACGTTACAGTACAGTAAAAATAAATGGTTCAAAATGTGTTTTCAGCTGTTTTTCTGACACCTCGGTTAATAGGGACACCCCGTTAATAAGGACAGTTTTGTCCGTCCCAACGGTGTCCTTATTAACGGGGTTCCACTGTATTTATTTCACGGGTTTAATGCCTTCACTCTATCTTCTTTTGTTAGGTTAAACCTGCAAAGGATTGTTCCTATTGGAGACATTCACCTAACAGTTACAGTAAGTATGATGTCATTCATGCATTAACTTTACTGTTAGACTAGTAATGATATAAATTTGAGGTGAAGAATAGGAAACCTTTGATTCTCGTTTTGGGCTCTCTGTGTGCCGGTCGAAGACCAATATATGGCGCACGAGCGCATTCAAATTGAAGGCGGATGGGCGCCAAATTTATCAAGTTATTTCTCAGCTTAAATTTATTCTGAAAGGTTTATTCACGCTGCACGCTGAAGCAATCCTAGTATTCTTGTTGACTGTCTGTTTTAGCTCTTAAAACGAAATTGATGGATGGCAATGAGCTCACAAATAGTTTACTTTTATGTAAAAAAGATTTTTTTTTTTGTTTTCGCCACAGGGTGAATTCTCATATCAGGCAAAGCCAATCGACAGCGATTACGCATGCGCATATGGAAAAATTTCGCCTCTGAACGATCCAGCATTCCTTGCAAATGGACCTCAAGAACTCATATTAAGCTCCACGTGTTTGTCCAGAAGTTCTAGTGTCCTGACGTGTAATACCGAAATATGACGTGACTTGATGACAGCCCCCTTAATTTTAGCAGTGTTACAATGCCGAACACCGGAAATGGACGAAGAAATGCATTACTGAGGTGCCTTTAAAGTGTATATCAAGGGAAAAAAATTATTTTCAAAATCACTTGTATAGGTGAACAGTGCAGCAGTATGGTTGCAGTATTTTTGTATGTGGTCTTCTCTTTTCAGAGATATAAACATTTGAAATATCAATATGCAAAAGAGATTGCGTTGCTGTTATCAAAAGCAACGGTTTTGTTGKTTTTTTTTGTTTTTGTTTTTGTTTTTTTTCTTTTTCTTTTCCTTCTTTTTTTGTTTGTTTTTTTCTTTTTTCTTTTTCATTTTGTGGCCTGGAAATCCATAATTTCAAGAGAAAAAGTGACACTTCAGTTTTGCAATTTTTCTCGATTCTGATTGGCTGACATGCTTTCTCGGATCAGCTGGATTGGATGTGTTTCTTAAAATATTGCGTCTTGAAAGGACATGAACCAAACGCACGTTAAACGGAACAACCATGGCTCTTATCTTCTTCCTAACCGTTGATCAAAGAAGATTGAAGAACCTATAGTTGTCATAACTCCCGGAATTGATCAGAATGGAACCACTTCTACCTCTCAAAATAGTTAAGTCCCACAAAAAGGTTTAGAATTTTAGTTCTACCAAGTAGACTGTTTCACGTAGTAGATAAATTATTAGGTGTGAACGAAAAAAAGATATATATTTTCTTCATATCCACATTATATAGCGTAAATAATTTACCATAAAATCCTGCCCCTAAGTCCCACAACGTATAAGCCCCCCCCCCCCCCTCCCTTTATAGTATGAAAAGTATATAGGTGGTGATCTCAATAGATCAAATAAACTACTATTCAATCATGAGTTTGATTTTGGTTTCTCTTGTCAGCATGCAGAAATAGGGAACAGACATCAATGTTTATGTATAAAGATTTATATTAGCATTTTTTTTCTGTGAGCTCTTTTGATATTTTTCTACTGAGAGTCATTGATATATAACAGCCGACTAGTCGTATCAGCTGACGCAAACATTCTCCCAGTTATAGGTCACACCCAGAAAAACTGACGAGGAAATAAGAGAGGCAATTATTTCTCCTCTTATCAAACTCAAAACACAATTTTCAAACTTTAAAAAAAAAAGTAATAGTTTTACCTTCCTTTTATAGTACCCCCGCCCTCGAGTATAAGCCCTCCCATTATAAGTCATTCTTGTACCCAGAGCCTCCTTAGCTTACAAGGCTTTGGGGCAAGAATGGGTTATAAGCTCGGTTTTTGTTGAAACAAAAATCCCGTCCGAATATATGATCTGTAAATATTATTTTAATTGGGCTCCCTGTGGCATAGCGAGAGGGATCTTGACACGTCTCTGTATACACACGTTTGCTTTGGAAAAAAGAAAAGTGAAGAAAAAGTATTAATTACTTTCATTTACTAAAGTAAACAAAAAATAGTTTTTTTCTCTCTTAAGTTTTGGACCAAAAAAGTATAAATAAAATGCAAGTTGTTATCATTGGCTGCCTACATTCGTAACGCAATCTTTCGTCACACAATACCACGAATTTGGCATCGACGTAAACTGACTTCCGCACTCTAGTGTCCGCAAGGCATGTTGTTTCGTATTGTAATTCTGTCTGTTTTTCTTGTCTTCGGAGGGTCCAAAATTGCTCACACAGGTAAGATTGTAACAAAATATCATCATATCTTAGTACTACGTATGTGGATTGACACGACAATAGCCATAATAAGTGTTTTTGGTTAATGTATAACTGCCAAAAAGAGAGCTCATACTCATTGATGAAACGATCATTGATCTGGCATGCTTATATACGATGTACTAACTAAAATATTACAAAAACCTTCACAGCTTATATTTCCTTAATGTGTACTATAAAACTCCAATAATAAAGCAATCTTTCGTAGTATGTCTGCCTATTAATCTTAAATATATTTTTTGGATGTAAAATATGACGTCAATGAATATGTTAAAAAATGTTGTATATAAAATATTAAGAATTATTTTATTATTTACTTCGAAAAAAATAAAAAWTTTATGTAGGTTAATTTTTAAAGTAAATTTAGAGGAAAAAATACTTGAAAATGGTAATTTGTATAGATAATTCTGATTTTATAAGCTGACTGATGTGGACTTGACYGAGGACTAAAAAACCCCAAAACTGAAACCCACTTCTTGGAAAAAGTGGAACACAGGAAGCCCAAGCTTCAAACCTGATGATTTTTTATTTTTTATTTTTTATTTCTTTCTGTTTGCTGTAGGAGCAAAAAGAAAATAATTTTAACTTGTGAATTAATATTCAAGACACATGCTATGTACAGTTATACAGAAATGTAATATAAAAAAGGGTTTAAACTTTATTTATTTAATTATTTTTATACTAAAAACACACATAGGGTGACAAGAAATCTACAGASTGCTTATATATTCTTTATTTTTTTCTGCATTTCTTCGTGTTTTTTTAAAAAACGTTTTTCATTTTTCTCCAATTCATTCATTTTTTCATCCTTTCTTAGTTAATTTCTCGATGTACTTACAATGATTTAATGTTGCAAGTTGAGGGATATGTTTTCCCATTTCAGACCATGTGTCATTCCCCATAGTACCTTATTTCTTTGTTTAGCATCAGCACACGAGAAAAGACATGAATATAGAAACAACTCAAACAAAAAATATTATTCTTAATAGAATTACATGAATGTGAAATGTGAAATGTAGACTATTTAACGTCATTGTGTATATCAAATAGCTAAAAATATACCTGTTTTCATGGCTGATGGCAAACAGATTATGAACATTTTAATTTGTTTACAATATTAAGACATTGTAAATAAATTTACTAATTCACTGTTTTGAACTTGTTGTACAAAGCAACAGTAAGTAAGGGGAGTCAGAACCATYAATTTTTTTTTTTTTTTACGTTTCTGGTTTTTTAAATGTATTTTTGTTATTTTTATGTATATTTTTTATGTATATTTATTTATTTATTATTCTACTTTCATCCCTTTTGTGACATTTAAGAAAACCCTCCAGTTCCAGCTCAACCAGAGTGTTTGATCAAAGGACGACCTCAAACATGGCATATACTAACTCAACTRCCAGAGGACAAGGATTCTAGGAATATTACCTATCAAGCACAATACTGCCACCCAAGTACAACGACCAAATTCTGCATTAGAAATGAATTATTTGAAACAGTCTGTACCTTCAACAAAACACGTAAGTAAATGTAATTCCAATATGTGAATCCAGAAAATATACATGCCCTATCATGGAGGAAATCGGAAATTCCCAGTGAGCGGCGAAGATCAGGGCCGGTTTGAAATTTTCACCACCATTAATAAGGGGCCACAGGGATATGTGCAATGGAAAGTTTTTAGTTGTTTTGGGGTGAACTTTTTTCTCTTATTCCTAGACAAAATAAAAATCATGTAAYTCCTAAGACCCCCCAAGCCGTCCAGTTTCGGCTGTCCCTAGGCCAAGCTGACATGTAAAAAGATGTATAGGATTTAGCATTGATTTTTATTCATTTTTAATTAATTTATAGAAAATTCCATGATTGATTGCAAACATCACTGAGTTTCCCATTTGTATATTATCTGTATCAGAGTCAGGAAAAGAAACTAGATGTTAAATAATATATAATGTTGATGATGATGATGTTGTTGATGATGATGATGACAATGTTGATGATAATGTTGATGGTGATGGGAAACAGGGTGACAGGGTGACACGTTAGTTAATTCAATTAACAAATCAGTGCCACTAAATGAGAATGAGGCTACAATAATTTGAATTATTCGGTCATCCAACTCTAAGCAAAGTTTGATTAATTTACAAATACACCTTATAGGTCATTATAGTCAGATACTTTAAAACCCTAGCTGCAGCTTGACCCTGTGACCTCCTGTGAATTAACTGGGCCAGTGTTCAACCCAACCTAACTTTATTTCTTTACTTCTTAGACAGAATCAGGGATTCATTCTTTCAATGTGACATGACAGAAGTGGTATGGAGTTTGTATCCAAACCTAGTGGACTCACGTTTACGTCCTAAAGTACGTGGAAATACATTATGTACGGTTATCAGTGCAACTAATTACAATGGGACAAGATATGGCAAGCAGAAATGTTGCAGTGTCAGGATAAAAACTGGTAATAAAAGATCAAATATTACTTAAATCATGGTAAACCTTTAACGCTGATTGCACGTCAATAAGAAACAACCATATAAATCAGTATACATGATTTATAGGTTTATAGAAATGTTGATTTGTTTGGTCAGACAGTCAATCGGTCGATCGGACGGTCTTTCRGTCGTTTGTTCATTTGGTCGGTCGGTCAGTCTTTAGTCATTCTAGTGACTTTGCACAAATTGGGGAAGATCATTTGCAAAGACACTATCATGCGAAAGTCTTAATTATCTTTTACCCTTACTTTTTAGCCTGTACTGGAATTTTAAATCTTCAAGCAACACCTTCAGCAAAGCGTGAACTCAATATAACTTGGGAAACTCCAGCAGACATCAGCGATGGATGGAACAAAGTTCTTGTCTATGAAATTCGTTATACCGGAAACAGTGAAACTAAGGTACATCATAACTATGCTGAAATGGAATACACTCATTCATTGCAAAATTATTGGTTTCAAAAATGGAACATAGAAGCAGCTGAGACAGAAATAGAACGCATGCAGTGAAACCATGAAATAAAGACAAAATTGAGTGATATTGGCAACTATTAGTCACTAGATATATATATAGTTACTATATATATATTTGTTACCATCAACTTTGTTTTTATTTCATGGTTTTACTGCTCAGCATATGGCCTTTAGTACATGGGATTTATAGGAAGTTAATAGACCCTTTTCGAGTTCCAAATTACCGCTGTGTTTCTTGACTCATTTACTCAGGCTTTCTTTGTCTTGCATCAGTGTTTAAAGATTCACAAATACCAACTGTGAAGTGAAGAATGCACAACTCCAACAATACAAACACTTTGAAATTCGACGGACCTTGACTGAGACATTGTGAATATTCTACACAAAATCGAGGCTAAGCCTGAGTAAATGAGTATGTAATCAATAAACACAGGGGTAATTTGGAACTTGAAAAGGGTCTATTAGATATATCTAGTGATACAACTAGTGGAATATTCATGAATTGACTCACTGACAGAAAGCATGGAGTCTTTTATCACGTTTTATATATACTGTGTATTTCAAATGAAAACATCAGATTAAGGTACAATTTAATGTCATTTTCCAAAACCTTTTGGTCTCAGCGTCTATGTTCTATTCTTTAAATAGGATACATACAAATATAACAACTCATTTTGTTGGGTTCTAGATGGCATGTACATTTTTTTTCTAATGATAAAGCTTGATTATTTTGATTTCAATTTTCAGATTATCACTTTTGATCCCTTCACGGACAAACTAGACCATCATTCTCGGCAGCATAGTATTATCCTCAAGGGTCTTCCCCCTTATACTCAATACTCTGTTGAGGTTTCTTGTTACTATATATCGCCATCTGGTAATTTTGATTCGCAAGTGATGGCCCGAACATTACAAGAAGGTACTTTTTGTACTCTTTGTTCAATTATTATTAACTTTTCTTCTCTTAGGCCCCTATAACCTTTTAATAATGAGTTTTTTAATTTTTGAGTGACAGTAGATATATTAGTCTAAATAAATCAGTCATAGCGCAATAGTTATGTTTATATGTAGGTGCTTAACAAATGTAAGAACATTAGATTGTGCAAAATGCAGAATTTTTTCAAGCAGCATCTACCCCACAATACTCCATTTTACAGTTGTGTTCGAGTGACCACGAATAATAGTTGCAACTCGTGGCTGCAGTTTCTGCGCATAGCAAAACTATACTTTTTATCATGCACGGAAACACCAGTCTCGGCTTGGAACCGAACTGTAAAATGGAGTATTAAAACTTAGATGAAATGTGCTGAATATATGATACTACTGGGGCATATCATGTGAAATTGTTGTGAAAAATGTGTGAAAGGCATGTGAGTGTCTTTAGCGTGTGAAAAATAATGTGAAAATGTGCATGTGAAATATTTTGAAGGATTTCACATGCATGTGAAAAATGTTTCCATGATCGGGACTCATATTACTGTATGCAATGTGAAACTGTATTTAAAATGACTTTTGGACAAAAGTCCATAAGTCAACAAGTTTCACATGTGAACAATACTTTCACAACTTATAACATGTGAAACTGCATTGAATGACTTTCAACAAATTTCACATGGATGTAAAAATGCATTCATAACTTACAACATGTGAAACTGGATGTGAAATATCTGTCAACAAATTTCAAATGCAAGTGAAAAATGCTTTCACGACTTACATCATGTGAAACTGTAAAATATCTTATTTCATGTGAAACTGCATGTGAAATACCTTTGAACAAATTTTATATGCGAGTGAAAAATATGTTCACGACTTATATCATGTGATCATGATCATGAAACTGCATGTGAAATACTTGCACGTGAAATCCTTTTTTCAATAGAGGGAGAAAAACCCACAAGAAAAACCCTCAAAGTACAGGAGATAGCCAGCAACCAACTATATACTCACATACCACATTGAGCTTGGTGGGACTCTACCCCTGGTTGCATATTGGCTCACTGCTACACCACCTGTGCTACCCTGCTTAGGAATAAGATCCTGAAAAAATCCTGTGATTCTATGTGGGAAACTATTCTTGGTTTGCAATCAATCCCAAGAGAGCACAATAACAAAAGGGATGTCCGCCATATTGGAAGATATAACAAAAGAATCCATTGAAAAATCTTTTGTCAAATTCTTCCAACATGGCGGCTAATATGACGTCTATTGCAAACGAAGAATTAAGGCCGGTTTAGACGGTGCGATTTTCGCCTACAACTATCGTATATGACACGCTTATAATGTGTTTGGCTGATGTTACTGCTTTGAACTAAACTATACAATTTCCTTTATACCCTTTTTTCCGGTGACTCTTTGATTTTCACCCTATCTTTTGCAAGAGAACTAACCAAACCTTTATCCGCAATTTTGAATATGCGGGCTCACTTTATTATTGAACAGCGGATTTTTTTCTTGGTCACATGACGAAAAGACGATCATTGATTGGCTGTTGGCGTTAGTAAGCAAAAAGGCGGGAAATCAAAGGTTTTTATGTAGTCCTAGGTGTGTGCAATATGCATGTCCTAGAAGATGTGCAATATGTCCTAGGTGATGTGCAATATGTCCTAGGAGATGTGCAATATGT